AATAAATCCATTGCCAATTTAACCACAATGATATCATATTTTCTTTAAGCAGCGTTCAATATTGTCTGATGAATAGCAAGTCTTATACTTATGTTATCATCTAACGCCTCTTGATAAATGGTACAGTGTATTACATCCAGTACAATAATGTACAACAATATTTCAATTCACTTGTTCGTGTCTGGTCTCGTCAAATATATTTCCTTTATCTTTGTTACTAGTCTTTGTCAATCATAATAAAAACAGTTGCATATGATGACAAATATCCTACAACAATGGCAAAATAATGAGAGCCAAGACAACAAAGCAACGACAAAGAAAGTATTGCATTTCTTAAATTGTGATTACGATCATGTAAATTTCAAAACAGCGTCAAAATAAGCGTTTCTTTACACTCGTAAGATTTGGCAGAAAATATTTCATGTCAATGAATAAAGATAAAGGTCTATCAATAATGCTTGTTTTCTATCATACTTTCCTCTAATGATAAAAAAATACATAGATAAATAAATTAGAATAAAGAAAAGGCATTCAGTTTCTAAATGTATTTTTTTTCTCTCTCTCTCGTCTTCCCCATCGTGAGAAATCCTAATAATATTGTTTTTTCCTCCTCTTCTTGCTGCTTTTCGCCAACGCCAAACATCTTGGACGAACTGCCAACTGGAATCGCCGACTTCTCACACGATCGACGACAAATACCCACCACGAACAAAACAACAACAAAAACAACTTCCTTTACTGAAACGCCTAAAAACCAACGCTTCTCCGCCTCGCCCTTGGACACCCAACCTAAATCCGAAAAAAATGGGGGAATAATAACAATAATAAAACGACAACAACAGAAAGACGACGCGGAGAAGAAGAAGAAGGACATATTCTCGTGGATGGGCGTCAAGAACCCCTTTATGTACGACGAAAAACTTATTCCTCCTGAGCCGACCTACTTCTCCACAGGCTTCTCTCGCTCACACGTTGAACAGTAAGTGTTTTGTTGTGAGAGGGAGTGAGGGAAATAAGAGAGGGAGAGGAAAGGGAGAGAGGAGGAAAGAAGGAAGGGAAAGGAAGAGGGAGATGGGAAGCAAGGGAGAGAGAGGAGGGAAAGAAGGGAAGGGAAATGAAGAGGGAGATGGGAAGGAGGCAGAGAGGAGGAAAGGAAAAGGAAGGGGGAAGTAGGGAGAGGGACAGAGAAGAAAGGAGAGAAGGAGGGAAAGGAAAGTAAGAGGGAAGTAGGGAGAGGGAGTAAGAGAATGAGAGGGAGAGGAAAAAACGGAGGACAAGGCAGGGGGAGGGATTCAGAAAAAGGGAAGGAGGTAGGTAGGGAGTGAGGGAAAGGGCGAGGGAGGGATGGGGAAGGGGGGGGGTGACGGAAAAGGGCGAGGGAGGTGGGAGTGGTGGTGAGGGTGATAGTGAGTGAGGGAAAGGAGAGGGAGAAAGGAGGGAGAACGATAGGTAAAAGGGTTAAAGGCAGAGGGAAAGAGGAGAGAAAGAGAGGGTAGAAGGAGCAAGCGACGGTTAAATATATAATAGATCATAAGAGACAGATGAGAAAAAAATAGATAGAAAGAGAGGAAAAAAATCAGAGAGAATTAGCAAGAATATATAGAGCGATAAACTTGGACAGTAAAAAGAAAAAAAATTATGAGGAAAGAGAGGCAGCGTATAAAGGAAATACAGCATATTTATGAGGTGTAAAAACAGGTTTCCTCGGTAAGTATGTTTTCTCTTTTTGCATTTCCGTTCCTCTTAAACTAAACAAATCTTTAACTCTTAAATTTGCCAATGCATGCGTATGTTAAATAAAATGTTTGAAATTAAATAAGTGCAAAAAGTAAACAGGTGAATACATTCCCTGAGGTCAAATCTATAGGATAATGATACTGATTAAACCCAAGAGTTAATTAACGGTGAAATTACAATAAATAAAGTTTACGTGTACAGCCACACAGTGTCAGACACACACACACACATGTATGTATGTGAATAAACATGTATGTTCATACATACATACATATATACATAATACATACACACACACATATATATATATATATATATATATATATATATATATATATAATATACACACACACACACACACACACACACACACACACACACACACACACACACACACACTCAGCTCCTGCTACTGCCGATCCCGCGTTCCCTTCCTCCTTTCTCCCCGAGACCTTCTCACCCACAAGCCTCTCCTCCCCCTCCCTCCCCCTCCCCCCCCCACCCTCAACCCATCCTCGAAGACACCAAGCGAGGCACCGCATCTGTACCATAATGACCTTGTCTGGCACCACCACACTGTACTAGGTACAGCGTTCGGGACATGAGTACAAGGTTCCGCTTGGTGTACACGCCCGTCGGCAGGAAAGACGATCTCAATTACTTCTCCAGGACCCTGTTGGACGGCGGGTACGGGACGAAGACGTAGGCGCTGTAGAGCACTGTAGTTCTGTCGTCGGATTGGACGTAGTTAGCTCATCTGTCTCTCGGGCAAAGTCGCTCTTCACGTAGTGCAAAGATGTGAATTTGCGAGGACTGCCTAGTGAATGTTTTTTTTTATTTGTATTACCACAGGTCAGATTGAAGCCAACGGCGAATCTGGGAGGAGAAATAAATAATAAGATCAAAAACTTAATGATGGCGTAAATACCATAGTCCTTTTCCTTAAAAAAAGGAAAGCGTTTCTTAGTTAAGGACCCTCTTACCTGTGACAGGTAAACGATAAATGACATCAACTAGCGATCTCACTAGTTTCCTGTTCCTGGTCCATACCTCACTATCCTGATCACTTTCTTCCTCTCCTCATATCCTCCGTTCTTCTTCTTCTCCTCCTCACTATCCTGGATCACTTTCTCCTCTCCTCACTATCTCCTCACTTTCTCCCTCTCCTCATTATTCTCCGTCACTTTCTCCCTCCCCTCACTATCCTGGATCGCTTTCTCCCTCTCCTCACTATCCTCCGTCACTTTCTCCCTCTCCTCATTATTCTCCGTCACTTTCTCCCTCTCTTCACTATCCTGGGCCACTTTCTCCCTCTCCTCACTATCCTGAATCGCTTTCTCCCTCTCCTCCGTCACTTTCTCCCTCTCCTCACTATTCTCCGTTACCTTTTCTCTCTCCTCACTATCCTGGGCCACTTTCTCCCTCTCCTCACTATCCTCCATCGCCATCCTTGTCCCCTCACTAGCTTGCCTCCTCCTCATCCACTCCCCTCATACCTCCTTTCTTTGTCATGGTTAAGGAAGTGAGGAACCTTATCACAAAGCAATCACATCGCTCGTAATAATTAATTAATATCGACTCATCTCGATGTTTACACTCCCTAATGAGATGTATATATCAACAGTACTGCATAATAATGTATATACAGTAGAGTAGATAGTCAGCGTACCTCTTCACCGAATCAATGGAACCTCCTCACCTTATAACACACTTATTTACCCTTGCCTCGTCTAACACACTCCTTCGAGTCACTAGAATGTTCTCGAAGGAAATACTCTGCCCTTCGCCCTTCCCGTTATCCTTGTGACCATCGCTTGTTGTACTAGAATACATACTCTTGAAGAAACTGTTTTTTTTCCTTCTTTTTTAAGGTCTAAAGTTATATCTCTAAAGTTTTCATGGCTTATTTTTTTTTGTTATGGATATAAAACGTCTTTTATATTTCATAGTAATTTTGTAGACCTCAAGATACCCAGATGCAATAATTTCATAATGGTAGTAATAATAATAATGATAATGATAATAGTAGTACTAATACTGATAACGATAATAATAATAACAATAATAATAATAATAATAATAATAATAATAATAATAATAATAATATAATGATAATAAATCAATAATAATAATAATAAAATAAGATAAATCACCCTTTATGTTTCATGCATTGTATTCATGTGTCACAAAATTGTACATACAAAATTATCTATATCTGAACTCAAGTTGCACGTATACATTGATAAGATTTTCCAAACAATATGCAATATGTTTCATACCATTATACATGTTTAATGTTCACGACTGTATACCTCTGTGTTTATGAATGCACACACATACCTACACCTACACAAAGACAGACAAAACACACCCACATGCATACAATCAGTATATCTCAACATCAAACGCCTCTCCTTCATTAATAATCAAAGTCAGTATCATTCGCAAACGCGTCATATTCGCCAGCCACTTGTCTGCGAATTGGCTAAGTACAGTATACATAAGATACTGTATGAAATACCCGATTAATTTCCTTCTTAATTTCAGTGTTTTATTGATAGTTATAAATGCATTGAATCATAGTCCAATGGTGAAGGGGCTACGTGTCCTGTGATAATCCTTAAAAAGAAAGAAAGAAAGAAAAAATAACACGCGAGACATACAAGAAGCTAAGGATTTAACCTAACCTTTTGAAGACGCCATTAGTGTTAATATTAATAATTATTGATTCATGTAGCTTTAACTGAGATAAATCAGATCATCAACATAACTGGTGGTATTCAAACTCCTACGCGCTTAAAGGTTTAATAAGCTGTACACATCCATTATGATGTTTTTTTCTGAATTAGTTAAGCGCCATTTTGAAGACTTTTGGAAAAATAATACCGTTGTTCTTTAAATTACCATTTGTCTGAAAAAGGAGGATGGCGATGAGTTTATGTATGTACGCGTGTGTGTATGCATGTTTGTGGGTATAAATACATGTGTCTTGATGAATATGAATAAAAGTGATATTCACTTGTACCAAACAACCAAAAAGTATGGCCGTGAAATGAACTAACCTTGCTGTCTTTTCATTTTTTTTTCTCGCTCCCTCCTGCGCCTGGCATCCTCCTCCTCCTCCTTCTTCAGGTTCATCATCAAGGACCGCGAGACCTTCTTCACGCCATCGCAAAGGAGCCAAATTGTGTGGGAAATCCTGCTCCGAGTTCGTTATAACAATTCCGACCAAGGTAGGGGATACGAGCAGTAACGCAAATCGT